AAAAAAAAAAAAAAAAAAAAAAAAATTAAATTTTGGTGAAATAACTATTTTGATAATTTCATTTCACAAATTAGTAAAAGCGTACAAATCCTTTATCAATAGTAAAATGAATTTTGATAAGCTCAAATTAAGTAACTTACATACAGTTGATAGTGAGCTAATGCAATTTATTATCAATACAAATATTATTGTTCACTGATAATTAATTAAATTAAATGGTATGGTGAAATGTGAAAGCTTCACGGACTACATACTTCTTTACATTCCATAGTTTTCATTATTCTGTATGGCGATGCAAAGAAGTACGTTGCCAACGTAAAAGCAACATATGCCATTCACGTTATCACATGATAACGGATAAATCAGGATTCATACGTAGGATGAAATTTCTTTGTTCATTTCAGGATAAAATATTAAGGCATACTTTAAAATTGCAATGTTTTCCGTTGTATTTAATTTGTAAATATCTATGCGCTTAATGCAAATAACTTGAAATTGGAACTTGGAAAGAAAAAAAAAAGAAAAAAGAAGCAAAAACAAGAAAGAAAGAAAAAGAAAGAAAAAAATAAAATTACTTTTTATTTTTGAGATTAAAGGAAAACTGCAAGTGCAAATGTAAGTTTTGAAAATTTTTCTAACAAATACAATTTTATGCGTCCTAAAGATTTTAAACTTTTTTTTTTTTGAAAAACAAAATTCTTGTAGGCTTAAACTTTCAAAAATCTTACGGTGGTGTAATTTATGAAAATTCATATTGTATTAGTTTTCTTTTCGTTTTTTTTAAATTTATTTTTATAACAATTCAAGAAATCTTTGAGAATTAATCTTAAATTTTAAATTTTATTTTTTTCATTTTTTCTATTACTTCTTTTTTTATTCTTTTCCAAATAACTTATAATGGTTAGGTCTCATTTCTAATACAACAACAAAACATTGTAATATATTTGAATTTCGGGAAACCATTGTCGAAATTACATACCGTAATTTGGATGATATTTGGTGAAAAATGCATGAAAACCTGAAATATGTATGAATAATCATCGCATCATCGTCACATATATTCAGTTTATTTATTACTATTTTTTTTTGGAAATTTTAAGAAATTAAAAACTCTAATAAAAAATGGCAAAATTTATTAATTAATTATAAAAAATATTCGAATATATTAGAATAAAATATAATAAAGCATAAAAAATTCGAAAGAAAATAAAATTTACAAAATTTACAAATAGAATAAATAAGAAAAACGAAAAAAATTGCTTTTCAATTTCGAATAATAATTTTTTTTTCATTTTTCAATTAATAAATTTTTTAAAATTTAAAAATTTGCGATTTTTTTTCTTGCTAAAATTTTCGCATTTAATGATATTATTACAAAATATTGATTAGGCAAACTAAATACGTTAATATTAGAGCATATGTGAACAACTGTTAGCAAAGAATTCTTACAAATAAGTTTGATTTTGTGGAAAGAAAAATTTTTTTTTCCTCCGCCCTCATTAATAAAAATTGCTTATCAGCCTGTTTCATTTCCTATCACAATAACAATTTTATCTCTATCACATATTTAACAAAAATTTTCTGTCTGTATTAACATTCCTAATTTCATATCATTATCATCATTATCATCATTGCAATCAGTATCATTAGCTTTATTATCACATCGTTTTTCTTATTCTTATTCGTATTCCTATTATTACTATTTTTATTTTTATTATTATTATTATTATTATTATTATTATTATTATTATTATTATTATTATTATTATTATTGTTATTATTATTATTATTATTATTATTTGTTTATTATTACTATCATTATCACTATTATTATAATTAATATTGTCATCGTTGTATTTGTTGTTGTTTGATTTTCAACAAAAATAACGAATTCAAGAAGAGAAAGGCATCGATAATAGATATCCCGGGAATTTGAGTGTACTGCTCAACTATCACTGTCAGTCATTTCGGGAAAAATGTGAAAGCAGGGGGCGGTATATATATGAGAAAAATGTTCGTACAATGTATTCAATTTTTTTTTAAAATACTTTTCAAAAAAGAAAACGGAAATAAATGATAAATGATGCAAAAGAGAAGAGAGAAAGAGGAAGAAGTGAACATGTGTAATCATTATTTGATATCGATAAACTTATATAATTAATATTAATCAACAATTAAAATTGATAGTTGAATTTAATTTATTGCTTGTTATAAAATCTGGTTACAATAGTTAAGCATAATTAAACATTTGAGGTATTTTAATAATTTGCTCATTATTTATCGTTTTTTCCTTTTTAATTAAAATAATTAATTTGATTTTAGATGAAATTTTGTAAGTAAACGAAGATGAAATATTTTGATTAATTAGAATTAATAATCAAATTGAATTATTTTTAGTAATTAAAATGAATTAATTTTGTGAATTATTTTTGAATTATTCTGAATTAAATTTTAAATTTTAAATTGTTAATGAATTATCTTTGCAATCATTTTTTACTCATCCAACTACAACTTTTTTCACATCTTTTTTTCGTTCCAATTTAAATAGTAACTAAATTTAATGCAAACATTTTGATTCTTTCAGAAAATTTTGAAATTAAAATAAAATAAAATAATAAAATTTCAAAAAGGAAAATTAAAATAAAAATTTACATAGTAATATTGATCTTAACGTTTTACAATATGTAAATGAAGCTTCATCCAATCATACATAATTTTTTAATTTAATCATTCAACGGACAAATTTTATATAGAAATTATGTAAGCAATTTTATTCCAATACAAACCATTTACCGCTAAATACTAAATTTTGGTCAAATATAAAACTTTAAAATTTTACAAATTACTTCAAATTCAAAAAAAAAATATTTTGTTATTTTTTTTCTAAAACAAACTGACAATTAAAATAAATAAA